TGGTTAGAGAATGTGGGGATGAAAGGTTGGAAAGGGAGGACTCAGGGGGAATCAGGCTAGTGGAGCAGGTGGGAGGGGGTGTCACTGATGCACAGTTGTCTGTGAGTCATTACCTCAGCGGCCTGTGGGCTCATCCCCAGCTCCCCATGTGAGAGTCACACAACACTCACTTGTTCTTAGATTTGGATGGCGAAGCGAACAGGCTTGCAAACTTCTCACATGCTAATTAAGAAACTAATTAAAACCCATGAGTTCTTAAGGACATATGGTTTATTTAAGGTTGATCCAAGATTGATGTTGAGTTAAACAATGTTCTAATAAATCATAAAATAAGTTGGCTTTAATAATACTGGCATGCTGTCTCAGTGTGCAGGATCAGTTCAGGGGAATTCATTCTTTTATTTGAGATATGATAGAAAAGAAATGATGTAGACACAGGGGTCTCAGGACCTTTTCAAGGCAGTTCCCTCCTCCTTGAATCCCACAGCAACCCTGCTGGGCATGTGTGCTCGGAATGCCCATAGAACAGGAAACGAATAATCAAAAGAGGTTAAGAGCTGTGCAAGATGGCACACACCTTTAATCCCAGCACTTGGGAGGCAGAGGCAGGCAGATCTCTGTGAGTTCGAGGCCAGCCTGGTCTATAGAGTGAGTTCCAGGAGAGCCAAGGGCTACACAGAGAAACACTGTCTTAAAAAAAAAAAAGTTAAGGGATTCAGTGAATGTGCAAAAAACTTAGAAACTTGGGGCTTGGGAAAAGTACCTGCTGTGTAAGTATGAGGGCCTGAGGCTTGATCCCAGAAACCACATAAAAAAAAAGCTGGGTGTGAGCCAGGTGTGGTGGCACATTTGGGAGGCAGAGACAAGCCTGTGAGCTGGTGGCTAGTCTGGTCTACATAGCAAGTCCCAGGACAGCCAGGACTATGTAGAGAGACCTTGTCTCGTAACAAAACAAACAACAATAAAAAGCTGAGTGTGGCGACGTGTTATAATTCCAACACTGGAGAGGCCGAGATGGGTGGATCCACAGGGCTCACTGGCCAGCCCGCCTAGCCTAATTAGTGAGGACCAGTACCAGTGAGAGACCCTGCCTCAAAAAACAAGGTGTGTAATGGCTGAGGGAAGAGCCACATCTTAGGTTGACCTCTGACCTCCACACTAATGCCACTCCCCCCCCCCACACACATATAACGTGATGGGGGTGGAAGGAAGAGAGTCTGAGACGGTGAGTAAGAGGAGAAAGTATTAAAAACGTGCTGGTCTGGTGGTGGCACACACCGTTGATCCCAGCACTTGGGGGGGCAGAGACAGGTGGACCTCTGTGAGTTCGAGGTCAGCCTGGTCTACAGAGTGAGTTCTAAGACAGCCAGGTCTATACAGAGAAACCCTGTCTGGAAAAGCAACAACAAAATTAAAATAAAACTAAATAAAAATGCAGCCTTTGTATCACCTATACCTACAAGCAACATTCCATCAGTTTTCTGTATTCTGCTCTTAGAAGAGGGTCATTAGGTCCGGCTTCCACTCAGTGAGAGGGGACCTCGCAAGGCTGCGTGCGAATGGCAGGACTCCTTGGGGACCATTTTAGGGTTTCCCCATGGGTGTCTCTCCTTCTGGATCAGCCACATCATTGCATCTTGTCTCTCCTCACTTCCTCACCCTCCAAATAAGATCACTTTATGAACTTAGTAAGTGGCAATGTGGCCAGTTTGGGGCGATTTATGTCTCCTATAGACAGAGGCATTGAACTACTTAGGAAACCAGGAAGTGGAAAATGGTTATAAAGGGATCCAGTTACTTTCACTGCCAGAGCAATGTAAAAATGTAACATGAAAAAAATGGACTTAATTGGTGAAAAATTAATTAGACAATTAAACTTATTTCTGCTTAAATACATTTGGGTGTTAACTGGTAATCTGCTTAAGGTTTATGTGAAGGTGGATTTGCTGTTTTGACTCTGTCCTAGGAGGATGGTCTCGTCTAGTTTGCTATGAACACTGCAGGTCTTGCTGAGAAACCAAGGCCAGTTCATTGTTGTTCCTCTCCAGGAAGGACCAGCGGGGGTCAGACTGCCCCAGAGGGCAGAGAAGCATTTGTTTGGGAAGCCCAAGAGGGAATTTCTGCTCCTGCCTCAGGTCTTTTTTAGGGGGGTCAGACTGCCCCAGAGGGCAGAGAAGCATTTGTCTGGGAAGCCCAAGACAGAATTTCTGCTCCTGCCTCAGGTCTCTTCTAGGAAGGACAGCAAACTCCAGGAGGGCACAGCTTTGCAAGCAGGAGGCAGAGGGGCTCAAACTCTACTGCTGGACAAGAAACTAAGAAAAAAAGCTTTTAAAAAATATTACATTTGTGTATGTGTGTGTGTGTGTGTGTGTGTGTGTGTGTGTGTGTGTGTGTGTGTGTGTGTTCTGGTAAATTATTCCATTTCTGTGTTGGGAAGTGTTTCTGGTAAATATTACAATTGTGTGTTTGTGTGTGTGTGTGTGTGTGTGTGTGTGTGTGTGTGTGTGTGTGTGTAGGGGGTGTTTCTTGTTTTTTTGAAAATTTACTTAACCTCTCTCGATGATTTCTTTCCTTGTCTATAACGTGGGCTTCTGGCACACTCCCCGGGCTGAGGAGGCCAGAGAATGACTTGTCTGTGTTAGTTCCCTTTCCACCATCTGGGTTCAGGAGATCCAACTTAGGTTGTCCGATTGGTAGGAAACACCTTTACCCCCTGAGCCATCCTGCCCTCTGCACTCAACCCAGGCCATGTCGTTGGGGAAGGTAGGTAGAGAGAAAGAAATTGCAGACCGGAAATGAGATCTGCACACTAAAATGCAAAAAGTTTGCCTTAACTGGATCCTAGAAGGGCCTGGGAACTTCAGGGAATCACTGACAACTGAGTGAGGGCAATGGAGCCAAGTCTGAATGAATGAATGAACGAACGCATGCATGGATACATGGTGGTGTCCCCCTCCCACCAGACTCCCCTCTGCTCCCTGGCAGGAGACTAGAAGCTCCCCAGAGGCAATACCTAGCAAACCCTGAGGATGGTGTTCTTCAGTGAAAAAGCCAACCTGCCTTCCAATAGTGTCACCTCTGAGCAGTGAGAGGTCACCGCTTCACCCAGACCCAAGGGCGTCCCACCAGCTTCCGGGATCACCCTCTCCTAGACGGCTCAGCTAGGACTCACCAGCCATGTGAGGAAAGCTCTGTGTTGAGAAAGAGACTAAAACCAACAGACGAGAGGGCTGGGATGCCGCCCAGTGGGTAGCATGCCCATCTAGCATGCCTAAAGCTCTGAGTTGGATGTCCAGCACCAGGTACACGCCTCCAAGCTAGGGAGGTGGAGGCAGGAGGATCAGACCTTTAAGGCCATCCTTGGCCACATATTGAGTTTGAGGCCAGCCTGGAATACATGAGACGAGAATCTATCTAAAATAAAAATGGACAAAAAGGAAAGATACCATCCAAGGAACAAAAGAAAAATAATAATTTTTCTCAGAGGCAAGAAGATCTCTCTCTCTCTCTCTCTCTCTCTCTCTCTCTCTCTCTCTCTCTCTATATATATATATATATATATATATATATATATATATATATATATATATATATATATATATATATATCTTTCTGCTCAAATGTTACTTCATCAGAAAGACTTCTTCTGGCCATTCACAGTATCTCTTATCACTCTATCTTATTTCAGTAGGAGAGAACAGAGGCAAAGAGTTGAGAACAAATTGAAATAAGTAATACAGAAACTTTCCCCAGAACTGAAGAGTCCTTTGAGTCTCAAGCACAATGAAGGAAAAGAGACACCACCAAGGCCATTGTGACGTTCCAGAACTCAAGGACAAGGAGCCTAAAAGCTTCCCCAGAAATAAAAGAGTGAATTTTTCCCCTAAAGGATCAGCTATCAGAATGGCCTCAGACTGCTCTATAAGAGTATCTTAGAAAGTAGTGTGAGGCCCCAGAACCCCAAGAAGAAGGCTGGAGCTCACTGAGTGGCCAAGGCTGACCTTGAACCACCTCTACCTCCCTACCTGCCATTCTGTTCTCTGCTCAGTTATCAGTGAAGTACTCCAAGGAAATGGAGGGAATGTTAGACACGCAATTTCTCAAAGACTTGCTGTCTCCTCTCTTGGAATAAATCAAGAAAGAGGGTGACAGGGGATCCCAAACCAGGCAAATAGCAAAAGAAAGTCTTAGGACATAGGAAAGCAAAACATCCAGCCCAGACTACAGGGGACAGAGGGAGATGGGAGATCTCTGAGAAAAAATGGGCTGGGTGAATGACCCAGATTCCTTGGTGGGTGGAAACACTGAGGCTGTTGTAAAGTCTAAGACAACAATCTTGACATTCAGAATTTAAAGCAAAAAACCCACAACAAAACCAAACCACCATCACCACCAACAGCCCAGGGTGCTGGGAAGTGGGCTCAGCAGTTAAGAGGACTGCTTTTGCAGAGGACTGGAGTTCGGGGCCCAGCATCCCCATCAGGTGACTCACAACCACCTGTAACTCCAGCGCCAGGGGTCCGATGCTCTCTTCTGGCCTCTGTGTGTACCTGCAGCCACAGGTACACAAACTCACATACATATATGCTGCAAACTTACAAAGGAAAAAAAAAAACAACAACACAGCTCACTGTTAACTTTAGTTACAACAAAAAAGAGCTCAGGGCTGGAGTTGTAGCTGAGTGGTGGAGTTCTTGCCTAGCATGCATGATGCATCAGGCCCTGGGTTGGAGGGTCAGGGCAGGGAGGGAGAGAGAGTGCCACTGTGGAAAACTGTTAGCTGTTAATTTATGCAAGAGTCATAATCATACTGAGCAGAGGAGAAAGTTACTCATTGTTGGTACATCACAAGAGCAGACAGGGTCCAGGCCTGTCTTTAGACATAGGAAGATAAACACCAGAAAATACATTCAACAGCATGATATTGGTCACTCTGAGTCCAAGAGAAAGTAAAATAAAGTGTTTTTCAGTGCTTTTGACTTTTTTTTTTTTTTTGACAGGTCCTCATGTAGCCCAGGCTGGCCTGGAATTCACTAAGCAGCAGAGGCTGATCTTGAACTGCCTTACCTCCCAAGTGCTAGGGTTACAGGATACTCTGCAATTATCACTCCGAGAACCGTCAACATGAAGTTGGAAAGCTCTGATGTGAAGACAGGCATTCTCAGTTCCCAAGACCTGCCAATGGGGACCAGAACAGAATCGCTGCTGGGGAGACCACTGCTCCCCAAGTCTGGTCAGGCTGGGAAGGCTGTCCTGGTCTGGGATCCTAGCCTGGATGATGATGTATGCCTTCAGGGGTGGTGGGCAATGAACTAAGTTAAAGGACATAGTTTTAAATCTCATTTAAATGTTTCTCATGTCAGAAAGCTTTGTTACTATTTTTAAAGTTTATCTCTGTGTATGTGCATGTATGTGTGCGTGTGTGCGTGCATGCCTGTGTGTGCCCGTGCGCAGGCGCAGGTGCACGTGTGGGCATGCTTATGAAGCCCAGGCAAAAGCCTTTCCTGTTGTTTTCAGGTGCTCTGTCCACCTTAGTTTCTTTCTCTCATCAGCTTGAAGCTCACCAAGCAGGTTAGTGTGACTGGCCAGCAAGTTTCTTCCTCTTCAACGTGGGATTACAGCTGTGCCTCCATACCTGGCTTTTTTTTTTTTTTTTTTTTTTAACATGGGTTCTAGGGGATTGAATTTAGGCCCTTATCCAAACACTTTCCCAACTGAGTCATCATCGCAGCCCAACCAGTCGTTTGTTTGAGACAGCGTTAGGTCTCAACCAAACTCACTATGTAGCGGAGGATGACCTTAAACTGAACCCCCGGCCTCTCCCCACAAGCGTGAGGCACACAGGTGTACAGCTGTATACTCCCATACCTGGCTACTGAAAATAGCACATCTTCAAGTCCCCAGACACCCACCACCAGGGCTAACGTTAGACACCACGAATACCATCTTGTCCTTGAGAGCTGAGGACAGACGTGAGTCAGTCTCTTCACCGTTAAAGCCGGACTCATTCAGTTATTCAACAGCTATTTCCTGAGTACCTACTGTGTGCAGGAAGCCTGGCATGGGGCTGGGGAAATGCTGGATTGGTCTATTGCTGGGCTCCAAGTGGCCAGATGGACAGAGCAGATGGAGGAGGGGGGGGATGGGGACGCGGGGACTCACGGGCATGTGGCAAAGGCCCAAACTCAAGGCTTGTGTTCTGGTGGGGGAGGGGTCCCTGGTGTCCCTTTCACCAGCATGGATAGGACTTCAGAGGATGATCTTCAGAGGACTGGAGTCTGGTTTTGGAGGAGGAGACCTTGATAGGGACTGCATAGTATGTGTCCCACGGGCTTCTGTGGCTATTTTGGGAGGCTGAGGGAACTTTAGGAAGTGAGGCCTACCCTGGAGGAAGCAGGTCACTGGGAGTAGGTTCTTTGCGGGAACCTCACCCTTGGCTCCTTCCTGGTCCTCTCTCTGCTTCCTGGTTGGCTGGGTGATCATGAAGTGAATAGCACTACGTCACCACCAACACATGGGGTCATGTGACCATGGACGGACCCAGGCGAATCTGAGAGCCAGACTCAATCTTTCTTCCCCAAATCCTACTATTCCAGGTAATTTGGTCACAATGACAGAAGAATAACAAATGTAAGCTCTAGAAAATGTCTAGGCCATTCATTCCTTTTGCAACTCACAAATCAGTGACACTCCTAAACCAACTCTGCGGGCCAATAGCGTAAGCAGCTGTTTACTCACCACGTGAAGACACAGCAAAGAAACTTCGGGGTGGGGGGACCCTCACCTCATACCTACTGTTATGTCACAACAAAAGCAAGAATTAAAATCTCAAATACAAGACAGTCACTAACAGATTTTTAAGGATGCGCGTCTGTGTCTGTGTGTCTGAATGCCACAGCGTGCACGTGGAGGTCGGAGGGCATCTTGTGGAGTCGGTTTCTTCAGCCACCTTTGTGTGGACTCGGGGAATTGAACTCAGGTCGTCGGGCTTGCGCAGCAAGGGCTTTCACTGGTCAGCCCTCTCAGCAGCCCTACAACAGTCTTTTAAACTGCATACATTTAACGCCTTTCATGAAAGAAAACCAAAACAAACCGCTACTTGAGCCCTCTTTTCTGCTTGTCACTCACGCAGTTCCTCACACCTGGTGCGGTCTCACACCTAAGCCCTAGTGGGTTTAAAGGCTTCCCCTGTCCACGGCTCCTGTCCCAGGCTAGGGCCCCCCAAGCTGATTCTTCAGGTTTTGCTTCTGCACCAGGGTGGGCTCAGGTAAGTCGGGAACAGAATTTAGACCAGCTCTTGCCATCATGAAAGTAAGAGGAAAGTAGGGGAGTGCCCTGGAGTCAAGACAGAGTTCTCTTTCCTCACACCCTCAACTTAGCTTCCTTCCCAGCTGTGGTCTGGGATTTCCGCCCCAGGGACCTCCCTGAGGTCCTGCTCCACCTGGCTATCCTTGACTGCTGGAAGCCTTGGACTTTGCTCACATCCCATTTCTTTCTTTCTATTTTCCCTTAAATCCTCTTTTACATTTCTTTATTTCATTTCATGTGTATCTGTGCATGGTGTGCATGCCTGGTATTCTCGGAGGTCAGAAGAAGGCACTTGGGGCCCCTCGGAGTCAGCTGAGAACACACCCGGACACTGAATTCTCCGCACGAAGGAGATTTATTACCTGGAGGGATAAAGGAGGGGCGTGCCACTGGACTGGACAAAGGCAGACAGCAAGCCGCAGGGGTGGTTTTTAAGGAGAAAAGGGCAAAGTCTGGGCTCAGGTGAGTTGATAAGTTCCCATTGGACAGGTTAGCCAGTGTAGCCAAATAATGAATTTTGATTGCTGGACCTTGGTGTTTTGTCTCAGGAATGAGTCTAGTGGCCAAATAGGGGAATGGACCTTGGGGTCAGCTTTAGGAATGTAATCTAATGGTTTAGCAAGGGAGAGGGAAGGAGAAAGGGTAAAACCTGTTCATGCCGTGTTTGCCTGCTCCGGCCTGTCAGAGAACCCTTCAGGCTTTGGAACCTCTGGAACTGGAGTTATGGATGGTTGGGAGCCGCTCTGTGGGTGCTGGGAATTGAACCTGGGTCCTCTGCAAGAGCAACTGCTGAGCCATCTCTCGAGCCCCGCATTCCCATTTCTCCAGCGTCTCCCTTGGCTTGGACACTAGTCTCTGTTGGTTCCTGGCTCCTTGCAAAGCAGCCCTCTCCACACTCTCCCTTCTGCCGTGAGGACGTGTACATGTCTCTTCCAGAGTCTTTTCCAAACCCCCAGGGATCTCACTGGTGACCATCCCCAGCTTCTACCCCCAGCATCCCGTTCTCTTCCCTGCTTCAGCCTGAGGTTCATGCTCTAACCAGCACTTCCAGTCTCCTCCTAGACTTTCCTGGGCACCTGAGGTGAGGGCTGCAAACAGGGCACTTGTTTCCTCCACGCCTGGTCCACCCTGTGCCCCGAACGCCTTCCTTCGGAGGCGACCTCGGCACCTTCCTCTTCATCCCTCCCCTGGTTGCTTCAGCCTGGTGGTGCTCACCTTCAATCCCAGCCCTGAGGAGGCAGAGGCAGGTGGATCTCTGTGAGTTCCAAGACAACTAGAGCTGTGTAGAGAGACCCTGCCTTAAAAAAAACCACACACACACACACACACACTTACACACACTCACACACTCACACACTTACACACACTCACACACACTCTCACACACACACTCTCACACACACATGTTCACACACACTCACACATACACACACATACACACACTGTTTAATTTCAATTAAACATTGGTGCTGGCCTCTCTTTCACAAACACATCATCGCCTTCAACCTCTCCCCTGTGAAACTTCTGTTAGAGCGAAAACAAAAGCCAGGCATGGAGGCCACATTTCAGTAATCCCAGCACACAGGACATTGCGGCAGGAGCATTGCTGTAAATGGTAGTCTCTCCTTAGCTGCATAATGAGACCTTGTGTCCAAAATCAAAACAAAAATAAACAAATAACCACCAAAGAATCAAAATAAAAATAACAAGGAGTTAAAAAAAAGTGTACTTCTCAGTGCTGGTGAGGCTGCTGCTGAACAGACACTAACTCACCATCAGAAGTTTGACTTGTCCAACCCCTTCAGAATACAGTTTAGGAATGCATACTAAGAACCTAAATATATTCAGTCTTTGACCCAATAGTTTCATTTCTGAGAAGCTAAGGAAATAACCCATCTATGAAAATGCTTCATGCTTTTATAAAAGCTTATTTATTACATCATTATTTACATAAGAAAAAATTAGAAATTACCTAACTACATTACAATTGAAGTAATTTGACGCTGTGTGCCTATTGTACAGCTACTAAAAAGGGCACTCGCTCACAGGAAGAAAGGCGAAATCACGGTGGTAAGATGCTCGCAGTGGTTACTTCCAGCTAGTGGGATTATGGATGATTTTAATTTTCTTCTTTCTTTGTAATTTCCTATATTTTCCAAATTTTCTACAATAAATCACTACTATAATTAGATGAGAAAGTTATTTTTAAATGATGTTCAGAATAAGTTTGTGGTAAAGAAGAGGAAAAAACCCCAGCCATATACCCGATTGTAAATAAGACACAGTCTGAGCACAAACACCAACAAGAACGTAAGTGACAGCCTCTGTGTGATGGCATCCCAGGCATCTGTGTGTCGATTTCAGCATCGTGACTGCTAAGAAACTTGTCTTCAGGATTTAATTCACACCCCTAAGCATCTCACAGTGACCCCCAAAGACTTTTCAAAATTTGAGATGTAGGAGGCTGGGGAGGTGGCTCAGTGGGTAAGAGCACTCGAGGACCTGAGTTCAAATCCACAGCACCCAAGTGACAGAAAGCTTGATGTGGTTGCATGCACTCATAACTCTGGTTAAGGGGCCAGAGAGAAGTGGGTCTGAAGGGCTCACTGAGCTCCACCTTGGCTGAAATGGTGGGATCCTGGTTCAGTGAGCTGTCATGTTTCCAGGTAAGACTGAAGAGAGACACCTGACTCCTGCCTTGGCCTCTGCACACATGAGCACTGGCTTGCACACCTGCATACTCACATATGTGCACACTCTTGTACACTTATACATATCACACCACACCCACACCCATCACCACACCCACATACCCCCCCATTTCAGCCCACATACACCACACACACACACACACACACACACACACACACACACACACACACACACCATACCACACCACACCACACCACAATCCTATACTACCCACCCCCGCCACCATCACAGATTGAGATATAATTCACATACCTTAAGATCCACCCTTTCAGGGCTGGAAAAATGGCTCAGCTGTTAAGAGCACTGGTTGCTCTTCAAGAAGACCCCAGCTTAATTCCCAGCACCCAAACAAGGCAGCTCACAACTGTCTGTAACTCCAGCTCCAGGGGATCCGACATCCACACAGACATACATGCAGGCAGAACACCAATGTACATTAAAAAAAAAAAATCCACCCTTTCATATGTACAACTCAGCGGAGTTTGATATCTTCACAAAGCTGTACTTGCTATTAGCACTCACTCCCCATTCCTCCCTGTCCACAGCCTTGCCAACTGTCGGTGTTCTAGTCTGTGATGCATTTCCCTATTCTGGACATTGTGAAAGATCAAGGGATATGTGGTCCTTTGTCTGGCTTCTTTTGTGTAGCAGAATGTTTTCCAGGTTCATTCCTTCATGAGATGGCATGGACCAGCTCTTTCTTACTGCTGAGTCACAAGCATTCTGGTGAATGGACGTACCACACCTTGTTTATTCACTTGATGAACTGTTGTCTGCATGCTTTGGCTATCATAATTCACACTGCTATCAATATCTACGTGTACATTTTTGTATGGGCATGTGTTTTCTTCTTCTTTTTAATTGTGTGCCTGGACATACATGCACAGCTTGCACGTGGGGGTCAGAGGACAACTTTTCTGGAGTTGGTTCTCTCCTTCTTTTATGTGGGTTCTAGGGTCAAACTCAGGTCCCCAGTTTTTCATGGCAATAGCTACCACCTCCTCCCCCCTCTCCTCCTCCATCTCCCTCCCCCCTTTCCTTCTCTATCTCCCTCCCCCTCTCCTCCTCCATCTCTCTCCTCCCTCTCCTCCTCCATCTCCCTCCTTATTTGAAACAAGGTTTTGCTACAAAGCCCAGCCTGGCCTGGAACTCCCAGGGAGCTTCCCGCTGCCTCAGTCTCCTAAATGCTGGGATTGCAGCTGTGTGCTACCATGCCTGGCATGGATCTATGTTTCAGTTCTCTTGGGTCTGTGTTTAGGAGTGGCTTGTGGGGTGACATGATAACTCCATGCTTAGCTTTTGGAGAGACTGTTTTCCAAAGCAACTACATCGGCTTATGTTCCCACTCATGATGCAAGAAGATTCTAGTTTGACCATATCCTCTCTGACACTTGCTAATGTCTGCCTTTTTTTTTTTTTAATTGCAGCCATTTTGGTATGAAATGGTTTTCGTTTACAGTTCCCTGGTGACTATGGACATCAGACATTTCCCCCCCAGGCATCTTCTCATGTTCTCATTGATCAATGATCAGTACATCTTTGGGGGAAATATCTGTTTAAACCCTTTGGCTTATTTAAATATTTACTTATCCAGTTACAGACAGGGTTTCACTATGCATCCCAGACTAGCTTTGAACTTGCTGTGTAACTCAGTCTGGCTTCAAATTCACAATCCTCTTGTCTCTGCCTCCAAAGTGCTAGGATTACAAGTGTGTACCAGCTGGGCAGTGGTATCACATGCTTTTATTTCCAGCACTCAGGAGGCAGAGGCAAGCAGATCTCTCTGAGTTCAAGGCCAGCCTGCTCTATGGAGTGAGTTCCAGGACAGCCAGGG